GACCGGCCTGCCTCTTTCCGAAGGGAGGCTGTAGGCTTCGGCATGACGTTACCCTGAGCCCGTGGTCAGCAAACCGCGGCTCGTGAGCCACATGCGGCTCTTTGGCCCCTTGAGTGTGGCCACGAAGTTTCAATCGCACTGTACGTGCGCGCCCACACGTGGTATTTTGTGGAAGAGCCACATTCAAAGGGCCGCAGTTTGCCAACCTCTGCCCTAAGCCTCTATAAATGACAAAGCCTTGCCAAGAAAGATTGTTGTTGTTTTTTTTTTCAAAAATACCAATGCAGTAGGTTGAATAAATACCCCCAAACCTTTTTACTTTTTTCTCCTTTTCAAGGATCCAAATTATTATTTTTTTTTCCTGGACTAAGGCAGAACCAGAAAGGCAAAAATGAGAAACCTGAATTAAAAAAAAGCAATCACAGAAGCGTTAAATATTTGATTGCAGTCACAGGCATAGAAAATAATTCTTCTGGATACTTAACATTATCTTCCACAAAACAAAAACAAGTGATAAGTATCTTGAACGTGGGAAGTAGGGATAAGGCTGGTTGGTAGGTTTCTGGTAAGCGAGAGTTTATAAATGAACTATCAGTATTGATGCTATTCATAGGTTAAATGCTTAAAACACGCTGGTAACCGTTTTTATTTTGTGGGCTTTATTTCATAAAAAATAAAAACATTTTCATATGTTTTAAAGTTTACCTTCACAAGTGTGAACAATGTATCTTTCATTAGATGTTTAATTCTGTAATGATGAATCCTATCACAGGGTTTCTAGGAGCCTGACCCTGGCAGTTGGGAAGGACTCTTTTATATTAATAGGTTTCCTATTTTAAAAATGGAGTCAACTGCCCAGCCAGCATGGCTCAGTGGTTGAGCATCGACCTGTGAACCAGGAGGTCCTGGTTCGATTCCGGTCAGGGCACATGCCCGGGTTGTGGGCTCGATCCCCAGTGTGGGGTGTGCAGGAGGCAGCTGATAAATGATTCTCTCTCATCATCGATGTTTCTCTCTCTCCCTCTCCCTTCCTCTCTGAACTCAATAAAAATTTATTTAAAAATAAATAAAAGTGGAGTTAACTAGATAGACATTTCTTTTAGAAAATATTCTGACCCCATTGAGATAAGTAATGCATGCTCTGTGGTTTAATAGACCAGGACTGGGAACATCAAGAATGACCACAGATAAAGGAATTTCCCAGGAGAGAAGGTCCCTGAGGACTGAGGGTACTGGGTGGGGAAGCACAATGTCCCAGCTCCTCAGACCTGCGGCCATTTCCACCATTTCCAGTGGGTGCTGTGGCGGGGGGGGAGGAGGAAGGCACCCCCGTGGTCACTGCTGGAGAAATGGTGCCTGCAGGCCCGACATTAATGCAGTCCCCTCTGATGACCTGTCATTTCATTGTGATTGACTGTTCACTGGCCTGACCCTTGAGAATTCGGTTATGCCTTCACCGAATGGTTAGATGAGTATAATCAGGGTGTTCCGAAGCAGCTGGGATTCTGAAAACTAGGAGCTAGAACCCTAGAATTAAAAGAAAAAAGCTTTAATGGAAATGCTGTATACATAATTATTTTTAAATTAATTTAAAAATTTTTTTAAATGATTTTTAGAGAGAGGAGATGGGGTCAGGAGAGAGAGAGAAACATTGATCAGCTGCCTCCTGCATACCCCTACCAGGGATGGTGCCTGCAACCCAGGCATGTGCCCTGACAGGGAATCTAACCAGCAACCTTTCTGTGCAGAGGGCAGTGCCCAACCAACTGAGCCACATTGGCCAGGGCTGTAAAGATTTACTTAGTAGAACCAAGTCTTTCTCGTGGGTGATGGCCATTGTAAGAGAAAGAGTAAACCTATTTCTTAAATTCAGTAGTTTTAAGCCTTAATATTTTTTTTTCACTTTGACCTGGCGTGTATATTAAGATTAAAACAAAGAAAAATCAGTGCTGTGTTGCAATGTGGAATCACTGGTCACACACCAAGCGTCATCGATAACCAGTGTTCACTCAGTATTTTAGTTTGGTGTCTCATCACAGGTGGCCAGTCCTCGAACAGAGGGCCAACCTCACGCGAAGGCTCCGTGGTTTTGTTTGGGTGGCTCGCGGCTTCTTGCTTGTCCTCTTGCTTTAGGGCATCCTCTCTTGGCATCAGGCCTCACTGTCAGCATCCGGTGCCTGCAACCCGGGCATGTGCCCTGACAGGGAATCTAACCAGCAACCTTTCTGTGCACAGGGCAATGCCAACCAACTGAGCCACACTGGCCAGGGCTGTAAAGATTTGCTTAGTAGAACAGGTCTTTCTCGTAGGCGATGTCCATTGTAAGAGAAAGAGTAAACCTGTTTCTTAAATTCAGTAGTTTTAAGCCTTAATATGTTTTTTTTCACTTTGACCCGGCGTGTATATTAAGATTAAAACAAAGAAAAGTCAGTGCTGTGTTGCAATATGGAATCACTGGTCACACACCAAGCGTCATCGATAACCAGTGTTCACTCAGTATTTTAGTTTGGTGTCTCATCACAGGTGGCCAGTCCTCGAACAGAGAGCCAACCTCACGCGAAGGCTCCCGTGGTTTTGTTTGGGTGGCTCGCGGCTTCTTGCTTGTCCTCTTGCTTTAGGGCATCCTCTCTTGGCATCAGAAGCACAAAAGTCTTTAATTCATAATATTTCAAGTTCCAGGGACTTAAATTTTAGAAAAATGTGCTTTTTAAAATTTCTCTTAAAATCTAATTTAAAATTTTTTAAAAAAACATTCTCAACTCAAATTGGACTTGGGACGAGTTCCCTGGGAAGAGTCATTTTTTAGTAACTGTGGTTACTTACCAGCTAATATGTGACAATTTAATTTTAACCTCCTACTTCATCTGGGCATACAGAACTTTCCAGAAGAGTTGGGAAGAAATTGTAGTTTAATACTTCCAGCCGATGACTGAAAGCTCACATGTCCTAGATATTTATCGTCTGTATTTATTGTAGCGCTCACCAGAGGGAAGCAGAGCTATGCGTAACTTACAGTTGGTGCTCACCGACACCACTCGTCTCCATTCACAGCAAATGTGACCGTGAGATTTATGACCACGCAGTATGTGAGGCACATGACACGTGGGTCTCTATCTTCAGGGGAAATAGAGGACGGACTAGGTGATATTGTAAGCAAGAGCCACTGGAATAAAACTAAGACACCTTAGGGTGACTGATTTTCTATGTGAAGCAACCTAATTTTATTGGAATTTTTAAAAATTGGGATTTTGAAGTCATCACTTATTGAGTCTTATATATACACATAAGATGAATATAACCAAGAGGAAGTTATAGAATTTCTACTTCTGGAATTGCAGAGTGGGAAATTTAAACTAATGGACAGTTACGGATTTTTAAATAACTAGAAATGGAAGATGGCAATTCTCATTTTATAAAACAAATATGGTGTTTTGGTCTTTCCTTATCTTCACTTTTGATTACTATCTAATTTTTACTGTAGTTATGGGTGTAAGGGGAGTGACCCCCTAAATCTGACCTTAGTTATATTTAAA